GCATAATCTTCAACTGAAAAGGCACTACACTTAGTTCTCATTGGAAACCAAACTAGTATATTTTGGGAACCTGCTTATCTAAATAGTTGATGCCAAAAGACTCAGCATATTCCATATCTATCATAGTGTAGCTAGCTATATACATAGGCAGATTGACTAATTTTAGTCCTGGTTTGTGTATCACTGAGCTATAGTAGTTTGCTTTATCCATTTTTGGGGTTAAATGATACTGTATAATGGCTATAAACTTTTATAAAATCTCTTTGGGTTTTTTGTTTGACCCAAACATTATGTAAGTCTCAACGACAAAATACACAAAGCTAACCTGAGGTGAGTGAAAATATATCGTGTCCCCAGTTTTGTCTGCCCCTCTAATGCATGTGCAATGCTTTGCAATATGTTCTCACTAGCATGAATGTGCTACGACTACTTCATGAGGTTTTAATTTGTTTCACCTATCATCATGATGGAAAATGCTGTCATTGACAACAATGAACTGTAACCACACTTAATTACTGCATAAATGTTTTGTTTACTAACCACTAAGGGCTCTGTTTCTTTAAGAATATCACCAACAAAAGCCATACCAGACATATACACACACTCAGCTCCTAAAAAATTAGACTTCTGTCCTTGGGATTTGCATCTTGAGATAAGCTATAATGGGAGGGATCTCCCCAAATGAGTTCATCTGAATTTCATCACAGTAAACATATGCCCTCTAATTTTTGTATACTAACACATCTATAAGTGCTAATCAGTCGGTGTTTCCCGCAGGGCTGGGCTGGACCAGGCCTTCACTGGTGGGTCAGAAACTGGTGGAGGGCTCAGGGCTCAGGCTTATTTCTGTAAAAGCCTACTGTTTCCCCCCTGAATAGCCTCAGGTCCACAGAGACATCATCTGCCGAGCCATAGCCAGAATATCAGAGCTAGAAGCAGCCTGGCACCCTACAGTTCACAGAGAAGTCACATGGGGAGTGCTCAGTTGCATGGACTCAATCAAGTTATAGGTATGAGAACTGAGGCTCCAAGAACTGAAGAGATTCAACCAAGGCTTAACAGGGAGTTAATGGCAAAGCCAGGACTGGAACCCCAGGCCTCATTGCTCTCAGGCCAGTGAGCCCTTTATCACAGTGGTGTCTGCTCTTCCCTTAGGTCTCTCTGAAGCCTCATCCTTACCCCTGCACTCCTCCTCCCCTCCCCGACACAACAGGCCAGTCTCATTCTAAAGGCAGAGGTGGACACAGTGGCTGCAGGGGACCCCAGGCTAGGAGACTTCAGAAGGGGCTAGTATTCGTGAATCTTTTTTTCTTTTATCATCCTTCTTGGGACTAAGTGTGCTCATCTCTCCCCATCCTTTTCCTCTTCTGTCTGTTTACTCCTGCTGTCTCCTCTCACATTTCTCAGACATACATACAACAAATTCTTACTGAGTACCAAATAGGAGCTTGGCCTATACTGGACTAGGGAGAGACTGAAGAGGAGGAAACAGTTCCTGTCTTCTGGAACTTGCACTGCAGTGAGGGAATGAAACATGCTTAGAAAATAAATGAATTCCCTTTCTTAGAGGGCAGTGACAGTGTAAGGTTAGGGGAAGTGATAAGAATAATTAGAATTCTAAGAAGGGACAATTCAATGTCCAATGCTTCTCCCTAATCACAGGCAGAAAATCAATTAGTCTGACAATATCCCTCTCTAGCTTAACCTCTCTGGCCTCAGGACCTCCCATGTTCTTCGCTTAACCCATATTCCAATTATTCTGGACCCCTCACTGGTGCCCCAACATGCCATGGTCTTTCTTATAACCCTCCAGACTTTTACCTTCCTTCTACTGTTTTGACTAGTAAAGTCACCTCCTTATTAAGCTGTCCCACCTCCTTGTCCAGACATTGTTAGTCCTTTCCCCCGGGGGCCTTGCAGGCATCTTGAACAATACGTCTATTTTAGCACTTGCCACTCTGTTACAATCATGTTGGCATGCAGATCCCATACAAAACATGAAACTCCTTAGGGGCAGGAACCATATTCTTCATTACTAATGAAATTAATTCCTATCAGAAGGGGTGTGTTGACTTAAAAAAAATGCACAACCTGAGAGTTGCAAGTTAAGTTTTATCTGGGGCAAAATGAGGACTGAAGCCTGGGGAGACAGCGTTTCAGATAGCTCTGAGAAACTGCTCCGAGGAGGCAAGGGGAGGAGCCCGGATATAGAGGAGTTTGCAACGAAGGGCAGGTAGTCAGGAACATCAAAAGATTACTGTTAATTAAAGAAAACCAGATAGCTCAAGTTAAGGAATTTAGCGCTTTTCTGTGTATGGGAAGATGCAAGAGTCTGGGCTCACTGAAATCATTCCTTTGATATGCACCTCAACCATCTGAGGCCAGTATCCTGTATTTTCACATCCTGAGTTTCCTCAGGGCTCACCGCAGGGAGTGGCTGCAGTCTGATGGCTGCTAGATGTCAGGTATTCTTTTCAGCCCTGAGTTTCCTCAGGACTCACCAGCTCACGTTGGAGGGCTGCAATCGTTGATGACTGTGACATCCTTTGTTTATTGATAAGGCAGGAAATATTCCATTTATAAATATTCCATTCCACTTATATTCCATTTATCAGGTGACTCTCATTATTGTTGTTGAATAGCAATATAATCAGTGCTCCCTTCCCTTGACCCTGAACCCTGCTCCTCGGTTAAATGTGTGCAGTTCAAAGACTTTCTAATCAGTCTCTGGCCTCTAGTCAGAAGGAAAAGGTGCAAGGGCACTGGGCTAAGGTTGCTTCCTGGCCTGTCCTCCCCTATGCTCCCCTCCCTCATTTCCTACCCCCAGCCCCCGCCATCTAAAGCAGCCCTTCCCAGGGACCTGGCTTCACAAATCCCAGGTTTCAGGAGGACTCCAGCCAACAATAACGCTTGGTTCTTACTCTCCCTGGACCTGGACTAAAAATGGCTCTGATAGCCTACTTCTCATCTTTAGGTCAGTCTTTGAGGGCCAGGGGAGAGGTCTTTGTCCTAGGTTATATGGAGACCCAAGTCCTGGGTTCAAGGCCTGTGAACCCTGGCATGAATCCACACCACTCACACATACAAAGCATGAAAAGCTTTAGAAAGCAATTGCACATCTATTATCTTATTTGATCCTTACAAGCCCATGAGGCAAATATCCTCCTTCTACAGATCAAGAAACTGTGACATGATTTGCCCAAGGCTGTTCTCATTAAGTGGTGGAGCTTGCCTGGAATCTAGGTCTTTGGGTAGCTTTTTCCTCTATACCAGAGCATCTCAAACTTTAGTGTGCATCAGAATCATGTGAAGGGCTTGTTAAACCAGATTGCTGGCCGCCCTCAACATTTCTGATCCAGGCCAGGAGTGGGGTTCAATAATTTGCATGTCTAACAAGTACCCAGGTGATGCTGATATTACAAGAAACTCGTTCTACACCAAGCTGTTAACTTGTTCTGTGTCCTTAGGCAAATCCCTTCCCTTTTACTCTGCCTTAGTGTCTCAATGTATAAAATGAGGGGGCTAGACTAGAACTATTTCTAAACTATTTTTTTGGCAGCAAAGTCCACTTTGAAAAAAAATCTTATATACAATACCAATACATACACAATAGATAAAAATCCAGGCTGCTTTAGAGAAGTGCTGGACAGAACCAAGAGCTTGCAGCACCCATCTCCCCACAGGGCAGATGCTGAGGCTATGTCCCAGAATACACATTTGCAAATCCCTTTAGATGTGGCCTAGATCCTCCCTGAGGGCTCCGTTAGATCTGACATTCCTGGATGCTAAGACTTAGCATTTGGCAGGAGAGGGAAGAGTTGGAGGGAAACTGACTTTGCATTAACCTGTGCAGGAGACTGCTTGGCCCATGCCTGGTGCTTGGGTCCACACAGGATAGGAAATTGTAACCTTTTCAGCTGTTGGGCTCATGGACCACTTTGATAATCTGATTAAACCTGTGAACTAGCTCTAGAAAAATGATTACATACACATACCCACAAAGATATTCAGGATATCTTTTAAGAGGTGTTGGGGACTCCCTAGAGTCTTAACTAGTTTAAACCCTTGACTGGGCTCTGGCAGGACACTTACACTCAATTCCTCCTTGGCATTTCATAGCATATGCCCTCTCCTTCCTTTCACCATTCCTTGGCTCAGCCGCTTCTAGAGCCAGCTTCTTGGCTGGAATGTGGCCTGGTTCTGTCCCTTGTTTCACCTTGTCTGGGCCCAAACGGGCCCCACAAATGCCCACTCTCTCACCCAGTTATCACTTCCCCAAGTTGGGGTGGGAGATACTGTAGCCAATCTTAACCTCAGTCAACCACCACCCTGGAAATATCATCCTGAGAAAAACAAACAACTTGTGTACACTGGGGCTTTCTTAAGACACTTAACAAAGGCATCAGGTTACCATAATTGGTGGACTTTGTCCTTTTTCACCCAGCAGAGGGCTCTGACGGGTGAGACATATTTTATTCATCCCTGTCTCTTGGCAGCTCAGGGCTGACAGGGTAAGTAAGGCACTCTGAGTGTCTGAAGGAGTTGGGTGACCATAGAAGAACTCTGGTTCAGTCCCTTAGACATTTTCTGTTCCAGTGCATACCACAGGGAAGTCCACTTCATCTTTTCTAGGCAAAAAGGTGACAAAGAAAGGTTTCTCTTTGACTTTCAACTGCTGTTTGGTGCCCAGTGAGGGCAGGCAGGTAAATGAGTCAGAAGCCTGCTGAATAGCAACAGGAAGACCTGGGTCTTCCAGCTGTCAGGGAGGTTCTGAGCAGATTCCCCTGATGCTGGCTGGGCTTTATGGCCAACAATGCCTCTTCTGGGGCATGATGCTTCCTAGTGAGCTGGCCTCACACTACATTCCAATGAGGGGAGTGAAAATGGTTTTAGTCAGAAAAAAAGGCAAAAAAGGGGCAGTGGACCCAGATCCTGCTCTGTTATGATCCCACCTTTTCCGGAGCCCCCAGAATAAAGGAAGAAGCACACAATCCCTCATCTCACAAACACCAAAACAGTTGCCTGTTTATTGTTTTTCAAAACAAAAAACAAAATGAAACAAAGCAAAACAAAATAAAACATATTCAAAATCCTACTGTGATTTTGAATCCTACTGTGATTTTGAAAGCTGAGCTGATATGGCTGATGCAGGCTGTCTCCCAGCTTGTTTTATGGAGCATTAGGTGCACTGGCGGAGTGGGGGAGAGTGGGCTGTTGCCCCAGTAGCACTGGATGAACACCTGCACCAGGGCTGGCATCAGAAGAGCTGTAGGCCACTTTTGAGCCCATGCAGCTGGCCCTGGCTCCAGAGAAGGCCGTCCAAGTTGCCACTGTCATTGCTGCCATTGCTGCAGTTGCCACTGCCAATGCTGCAGCTCAGGCCCAGGGTGCTGCAAAGAGAGGGGAGAGGGGAGGTCAGTCAGGGAAGGAGGCAGCTTTAGGCTCTGGAGGGGCTAAGGGTGCTTGATGTGTGTGTCTATGGGAAGGGCCCACCCTCTTGCCTGGCTTTACAAAGAGACTGGAACACATCTGATAAACCATTTCAAGATGGGCCCCAGGGGTGGCTCTGCCCTGCCCTCAGTTGAGGGAGGAGGGAGAAAAGGAGTGGAACTTTTCAAATGAAACTTTATATAGAACCCCAGTACATAAACCAGATTAAAGCAGAGCTAATTGGGTTGAGGTAGGAAAGGGAGACCCGCACCACCCTACCCCCAGGAAGGCATTAAAAGTGGCTGCCTTAATAGGCTTTCTTCTAAGGCCCTAGATCTTGGGGGCCCAGAGGACCCTGGGCTGGATCCCTCCCACCCCAACAGCAGGTTAAGGGGCCCAAGGCCAGGCTTAGGCTGCAGGGCTAGGCCCAGCTCCCATCTCAGGATTGCAGAACTGACCTAGGGAGAAGACTGCCCTCCTCTTCCCTGGCCCTGCTCGGAACACTCTTGCTTCCCCTGCTTCCTGCAGGTCAAAAGTTCTTCCAGGTAGATGAGGGTGACAGCTGAGAGCAAAGCCATCATCTTTCCTCTCAGGGAGATCCACGGTTACACTAATGCAGCTGAAAAAACCCTTAGAGATGATCTAGCCCCATCCCCTCCCATCACTCACCATCTCACAGACAAGGGAACTGAGGCTCAGAGATGAAAAAGGACTTGCTCAAGGCCACACAGCCAAGTCGGGGTGGAGCTGAGACAAGGAGCAGGGGCAGGCACGCTGGCTCCAGCTGAGGAAGTCTCCCTACTACAGGGGGTGTGGGACTGGGCCTCCTTCTGGATAAAACAGCTCTACCTGCCCACAATTCACCCTTGATACCTTGATGTTCATCAAGACAGCCCTACCCAAGGGAGAGGAGGTCTCTCTCTCAGACATGTGGGCCCCACTCGCAACTACAGACAACCTGGCTTCCCCCACTGCCTCCTCTTCTCTCCAAGAGGCCTGCTGCCCCGGCTTACAGCAGAGAGTTCATGACACTGCCTTGGGCCTGGCCTGTTGCTGGGGTCCCTGGGTTTCATAGCCCTCTCTCTGAATGTCTAGAGGAAGAAGGGCTCATCTCCCATGAGGTGGGCAGGCAGCACAGGGACAGACTGTTTCAGGGGCCCACAGAGGTCTCCCTCTGGTACTCACAGGATTGTCCCAGTCACAATGGCCCCAAATTCTGGAATGTACAGGCCCTCTGGACGGGCTCCTCTGTGTTACCAGCAGAGCCCCTCAGCAAGGGCTGCTTGGTTCCTGCCTCCCTGATGACCCAAGGGCTCCTACGCCTGTGATCCAGAGGTGAGTTTCGAGGGACAGCATGGAGCCCTGCATAGGCCTTGCTACCAAGATGCCTGGACAGTGCAGGGAGGCCTACTGATTACTCTGTGCACCTTTGGACAAATCTCTTCCCCTTTCTGGGCCTCAGTTTTCTCCTCAAGAACATGAAGAAATTAATTAGAGCACCTGTTCTTGACTTTTTAGGAGTGGTGGATCCTTTAGAGAATCTGTTGAAAGCTATGGACCTCTCCCTTCCCAATACACACACACACACACACACACACACACACACACATACATACACATAAGCACACACACACATGCATGCATGCACAAACCAGATGCAATCTGAGAGGGATGCCAAGCCAGTTCTGTGTGGCTGCCTCACTGGTCCCCCACACTAGGGGCTGGGACTCCTGGCAAGGGCCCAGCCAGGGACTGGAGCTTATATTTCACTCATTTAGGCCCTGACTGGGGACAGTTACCTCCCCCAACCACCCCACTCTATGTTCTTCCCTTCCTCCCTCCCTCCTGTGGGAGGCAGAGAAAGGGGTGAGAAATCCTGCTGCCATGGGCACTCACCCAGTCTTGCATGTTGGGGGTTCCAGCCGCTGGTCTAGCACAGGCTGGTCCAAAAGATACATGGTATCATAATTCTCCAGCATAAGCTCTGATGGGTCCTCGGTCTGACCTGGCATTCGGCCTAAGGGGAAAGTGTCCCATCGTACATCTTCTGTAGAGCAAAGTGAGGAGGCAAGAGAGGGCTGATGAGCTAGTTCTCATATGGGTGCACAAGCCCACCTACTCTGTCCATCCACCCACCTTACTTAGCCTGCTCAGCACAGGCTGTGTATCTTCATCCTCACTCCTCTCTGCATCATTTCTCATCATTTCTCCTCTCCACCTTAGCACTCCCTGTCCCTTCCATACTCCCCCATACACTCTTCATGGTCCTTCTATGTGTTCACATGCAGCACCCCCACCACAGCCACCCCCAACCCCCGCATACCATGCACACAACTATCACAACTGTAGACATTTTTGTTCCTCTCCACTCTTCTTCTCCCACTTCCCCAAACATGTCCCTACACAGATACAGATGACACCTTTTTCAGACCTGGCTGTATCACTGCCTCAGTCGCTCACCCTCACCCCTATTTTGACACACCCATATATATATATCCTGGAGAGTCTGGATGCCCCTGAATTCCCACCACACCTCCTCCCCAAACTGAAAGATACCTCTGCATATCTGAATGACCTAGATATCCTACACATCTATGCACAACCACCCGTCCTCCTCCCAACATGTTTGAGTGCCACATCATTTCTTAGTAGCCTTGCCTTGAGAGATATACATACAGGCCCACATACCACCTCAGGGTGAACACTCTCTCAGCAGTTATCATGCTCTCCCTGCCCCCTGCAAGGTCTTTTTGCCCCAGATGTGCACACAAAGAACATCCCTTCTCTAGGGAAGGACTGTCTCATTGCATATCCCACCCCCTATAGATGCCTCAATATACATACATAAGCACACTGACCAAACCCTCCACTCAACAAATGTTTCCAGTTTTACTCCCTGCCTCTCATACTTCTCCTGCACAGGCACACAAACCAGAAATCTTAACGTCCCTGCATCTCCACATATGTGTATACACATACAGAGGAAGTAACAACAAGGGGGAGAGGGAAAGATTTCAATGCCCTAGGCCTTTCCACATTCACAACCCCTCCCCGCCCCTGCCATACTCCACTTCGGAATGGACCATGTCAGGCACTCCCTACCCACTCTGTATTATATTAAATCCCTTCCCCATCCTTACACTAGTGTATCCAGTGTTTTCAAGCGAAGCCTTCACTGGTGAGCTCCTCCAAGTAGATCCAGTTTCTGGCCTCCTGCATCTCCCTGGTACCCAAAGAATTCTCCCTGTCATTATGCCCCTGGCATTCTGGAAAGTATCAACCCTGGACTAGAGTTTGATGTTACCCAAAGAACCCCCGCAGGAAGGGCTGTACCTCTGCTTGCCCATCTCCCCATCCCTGGCTCTCTTACACGAAGGAAGTTGTGACTCTTAACACCCTGCATTGCCCTATGCATACAAAGACACCTTTGTACACAGGGACCATTCCCCCATGTCTGTCACTGACCTGACCATCCTCCCTACTCCCAACCCTGTCTACATCACTGCCCTTGGCTCTCTAGCCTGATACCTTTGTACATGTCCCCTCAGTGATAGCACAGACCACATAGGCCATCTCAACATGGCTGTTTCACTGCCTGTTTTCAGGCCTTTCCATATCCCCCCCACCTCTTATTGTTTCCACTTCTCTCCCTCATATAGATGCCTCCTGGTCCTCATAGGTCTTAGCAACCCTGCCTCCTCTTCCAAAAACATATATGACCATGTGTGCATGTATGCACAGATGCACATACAGCCCACTTCACACTTTCTCTTTTCACAACCCCTACTCTCTCTCTCTCTCTCTCACACACACACACACACACACACACACACACAATTCTGCCTGAGTCACTGCCCCTCCCTTTGAGTATTTACAAACACAGCCCTCCTTGCTCTAAGAGATTCCTCTGTTGCTGTGCCTTGGTTTGTCCAGCACATGCAAGCACATACCCATTCACATTCACACACACACACACAAATATGTTCCCCCATCTGTAGCACTCAGGGCCTTTATGTCCCAGCCCTTCCACACACACGTCCATAAGGGCAAAGACTTCACTTTCCCCCTAAGCTCTTTCACTGCTTCCCCTTTCTCTCCCTATTGTTCCCCACCATGCCTACCCCACAGCATACCCAGTCCCAGCCCCAGGCTCCATCACATGGGCTGTGCCCCATGTCTACCCCTGCCTCCAGCGTGTACACATACACACATGCCCATGTGCACACGTCAGACTGTTCATTCCTGTGGAGTCCCCCTGCCTTAAGGTTCCTGCTCCCCAACCCAAATGAGGGCATTCAAAAAACCACCCTCAGGAGCTGACTCATGTTCCCCCACCTACCATTCAACCCCCTGCTCCCTCCTGGCTTTGTCTCACTAACTTGTATACTCACCAAAAAACTGCACTGCTCCTTATTCTCCCCCTTCTGATCTCATTTCCACTTCCACTGACTGAATACCCTTGGGTTCCTTCTTTCTCATACACACAGCAAAATCCTGTCCTATCACCAACCAGCCTCCAAGTGTCCATACACATTCACATATACACAGAAAGCACTATTCTTTGGCTCCTTGCCCTGATCACTGCACATGAAAAACACACGCAGAATCATACATATATCAACCACCTAACTCTAGCTTTCTGTGTTTTGCTGCCCAGTGCCCACATCCACACCAACCTCTCTGAATGTGCTCTCTGCATGAGGCAGCTGGCAGCATGACAGTGCTAAGGTCCCTGGCGCTCACATGCTCCATCTTAAGGGGGAGGGAAACCAGATGTCATCCACACACCAGGCTGTCTCCCAGGCTTGCCTCATGCTGGCTACCTCCTGCTACTTTCCATCCTTTCTCTAGGGTGAAGGGAAGCCTCAAGAGCCAGCCAGAGAGGGAAGATAGACGTGGGGAGAAAGTGGATATCAGGCTTCTTACCTGAGCTAACTTGCCATGTAGAGCCCTCCAAAGCTCCTCTTTTCTGGGCCAGGAGCCTGGCATTCTCAGCAGTGGGGGACTCTTCCTCCATAGAGAAAGGCCCCACTTCCATCCTGTCTTCCTCCTCCTCATCTTCGCCGTCGTCGTCATCATCATCGTCATCGTCGTCGTCGTCGTCGTCGTCGTCGTCATCATCATCACCTTCCTCCTCCTCCTCCCACTTCTGGTCATCATTTTCCTCTTCCTCCTCCTCTCCCTCCTCCTCTTCCATCTGGTCTTCCAAGGCCTCTTGCTTCTTCTTCTCATCTTCCTTGGCATCATTAAGGCTGCCCTGTTCCTCCTGTTGCTGGGCTTCTCCTTCAGGTCCAGAGCTCGAGCCAGCTGGTTTGAGGCTCCAGTACAGGCTGTCCAGTGTGTATGGAGACTTCCCAATGGGGGAAGCCTCTGAGCCCTCCTGCACCAGGTTGTTTTCTCCACTCTGGGTATAAATGGAACAAATGCGCAGCAGCTTCTCCTGCTCCTCGTCTGGCAGGACCTGCCCCATGGCTTTGAAGATGCTGAGCAGAGGGACGGAGTAAGAAAGATTCAAAATCTCAAGTCATTTTATATCCCAAAACTCCAGTTTCAATTTGGTCTCTGAGCTTCCAGACCTGCCTCTGAAAGGCAGTGCAGTAGAGCAGACAAAACACAGATACAACAGGACCATGGACCCTGAACGAGCTCTGTAATTCATCTCTGTGGCTCACTTCCACTCTCAGTAAAATGAGGACAATAATGGCACCTAACTTAGAGGGTTGTTGAAAGGAGTAAATAAGATAGCTCACACAGAATGCCTGGCACAGTGCCTGGCACATAGTAAGCAATCAATAAATGAGAGCTATTAATCTGTACTGAAATGCTATGTAAATACACAAACTAGCCAACAGGCCTGCAGGGCTGGACATGAGAATAGATCCCTCTCTTTGGCCGAGCAATGTATCCTGAGCTCCAAAGATATGCCTGGAAGTGTGCTGTGCTCCTTCTGCATGGAACACAAAGTGTGATCCCTTTTGGGGGACAACTACAGCCCAGCCTGGAATGGAGGAAAAGAAAACAAAAAGCAGCAGCTGACAAGAAAAAGCAGAATGTGGGCGGGAGGCCAGATGAGCAATGCAGACCTGGGGACTACAGGAGCTGGGGGGAGGCAGAGAGCACAAGGAGGGCAGGAGAGATCAAGGGAAGGCTTTGTGCAGAGACAAGAGCGAGCACACCGGGCTGTGTGCATGCGGTGAGGGTAGCCTGGCTTGAGTGGAAGGGCTGTGCTGAGGAGCTGTGGGAGCAAGAGAAGCCTGCAAAGGTTAAGTGTGTGTGTGTTGGGTGGAGGGGGTCATCTGACGTGTTTGAGCACAGGTGAAGGCTGCATTTCTGAAGATCACCATGGTGACCATGTGGAGGATGGCCTGGGTAGGGCAGCCTGGAGTCAGGGAGACCAGGGAGAGTCGGTGAGGGCTGACCTAGGGCACTGGCAGCAGCGATGGGAGGGAGAGAAGCTATGAAGGACAGACAGACAGAGAGCAGGGCTTGGTGATCAGATGGTAGGGGGGAAGGCAGAGGGGAGTTAAAGATGACGACATCGTGCATACAAAGGACGGCGCTAACAGCAAAACCACCAACAAACACAGAGCAGTTGGGAAGGAGAGCTCCTGGGGAGGAAGAGGGTGAGTACCCCTTGCAGAGCCTCACATAGAACCGGGCACCCAGCAGGCACCTGGTCACCGCTGGAGGCATGGTAGGATGGACAGATGGATAGTTTCCTTCTAAGTGTATTGAGTTTGAATTGTGGGTTGTTCACAGAAGGGAGGGCCATGTGCTCAGCGGGCTGTTTTCTCTCTGGGCCCCATAGGCAGACCGGACACATAGGTGTGGTTGCTGGTCACTGGCTGCTGAGGGTAGGGCTGGGAGCTAGTGACTCCACTGGGAGACCCTCTCTGCAGGGCTAATTTCACATTCCAAGATGGCACTGGCTCAAACTGAATTGATATTGGCTGGCTGGGGGAAGCTCTCAAAAAGCTTCCAGCCTTACCACTAAGAGGAAAAGCCAGAGAGAAACTCTCTTCCCTCTCACTGTGGTCCATTTGTAGGATTAATAATAAATATTCCCAGGCACTTTATATTGGCAAGATGCCATATTACCAGTTTATTATTATTACACACCCACTCTCTCAAGCTGTCTAGTCTGACCACTGAGGTGCAGGGGTGATATGAATCTTAAAATCCATCTCCTTCCTCGGGTTTGCTTGGTCACAGCTAGGGACTGAGAAGGTCACAGGTCAGGCTGGTGGAAAGAAGGTGGACTTTGGACTCATAAGCCCTGGGCCCAAATCCCTGTCCCACCACCAACAAATTGCATGACTTTTGGATAAGTCACTTCACACTATTCAGAACCTTGGTGTCTTTCTTATCTGTCAAATAAAAGTATATAATATCTCCACCTCCAAAGACTGCTGTGTCAAGTTAAATGAAAATGCTTCTACAAACACAGCACCATGTCCAACACTTAATTGCCAGTGGTATCTTTTATTTTTCCTGTGGGGAAAAGAAAAGTCATGTTCTGTATGTGCAATCTAATGGAACACTGTAGAAAGAGCACAGGAGTAAGGACAGTATATCTGGAATCTGGTTTCTGGCCCCAGCTCTGACTTGCAGACTTGTTACTGACTTGCAGCCTAATACCTGGGGAAATCCCATTTCCCAATCTGTGTAACAGGATGATTAGGACTAGATTCACTGATTATCTGCGAAAGGCAGGATCTGTGCACAAGAAATTGTACCCAAGTGAGCCGCTGTTACTGCTGGCATGTGTCGCATCCCGCTGGTATGCTTGGGTTGGGAGAAGATCTCTGTGGTCCAGACTTCTCCAAGACCAGCAGCTTCCACTCTGTAGGCACTTAGGATTGGAAAGTACCTTGAAGGCCACTTATCCAACCTCTCCATGTTGCTCTTTTCATTCTCTCCCCCCATTACATACATATGCCATATTCCTTCAGAATTTTGAAATTTCCTTTATTCTTTCTCTTGCTGGAATTGCTCAAATGCCTCTAGGATTTTTTGGTTCTCCTCCCAGTTTCCCACCCATCCATATCACTTCCAGTCTAGAGCATACACATCTGGAGATTTGGCTGTTTGGTTCAGTCTCATCTCCTGGAGGTCTTAAACTGACTGTCTTTTGTCAACAAGGCTACTTTTTTCTCTTATAAGTTACTTATAAGATACAACTGTGCCCCAAATGTCATTAGGGTTCAAGAAAGACTTTCTGACTCCATGGGAAAGATCAGGGGACTAAGACGGTCTTAGCATCCAGACTCCCACTTCATTTATTCCTCAAGCATGGAGTCAGCTCCCACCAAAGACAGCACTGCTGGCAATGAGACAGCAGAGTACAGTTCAGTTCAGCATTTACTGAGGTTTATTTGGGGCCTGGACTTGCATGGCGTGCTGGGGCACAGATGGCTAATGCAGAACCCTTGTCCTTGAAAAGCTTAGTCTGATAGAGGGAAGGAGACACTAGGGGAAATAGACACGGCAAGACAGAATCTCAGATTTGAGAAGTACTTGAGAGAATCAACATGACACAGTAGATAGTGCTGCCACCAAGTGAGATAGGGAGCAGAGGAAGAAGTTCACTTTGGGGCTGGGGTGGGGAGTAAGATGACCCATGCTCTTTTGGTCACAGTAAGGTGACTGGAGGCCATCTAAGGGGAGATATCTGGCATGCGGTCAAATACAGGAGGTTGAATCTTAGGGGAAAGGCCTGAGCTAGATAAAGAGATATGAGCTTTGGTACTTTACTGGAACTAGTAAAAAAGCACAGGCATTTGAAGGAGGGAGTGGTAAACAGCATCAATGCGGCAGACAGGCAATGGACAAGGGCCCACTGGATTTGGTAATTAGGTCAAAGCAGCTCTGGGGATGAATGCCAAATTGCAGCAGCTTGAGGAGTAAGAAGGTAGTGAGGAAATTGAGACTGCTGAGTATAGACTACTCTTTTGAGATGTTTTGATAGGAAAGGAAGGAGTGATAAGCTAGTGATAACCCAACAGAGGGATGCAGGGTCAAAGGAGATTTTGCTTGTGTTGTTGTTGTTGTTTGGTTTAAAGATAAGAAAAACTCAGGCACTGTTCACAGGTTGAAGAGTAAGAGCCAGTAGAGCAAAGGAGAGGCTGGGGTGAGGCCCCAGTGATGCTAGCAGAGAGCACAGGTGGAGAGAAGGCTTTGAGGTTGGGCAAGGCCACCTCATACTGAGACTGGCGACAATGTTGAGTGTAGCCGAAGATCAGTTCACGAGGGCTGGACCTCAGGTCGAGGGGGCCCTGCTGGAGGCCTCCATGTGCTTGAGGAAGCTAGGGTGAAATGGGAGGGGGGGTGGGGCTTGAGATGAGTGGTAAGGTTTTCAGAACAGTCAGGAAACAGGAGAGAAAGTGGGCAGAAAACAAGTAAAAGTTCAGACAAGCAGAACTGAGGCCTGGCTTGAGATTAAAAACCATACCTCTGCAGTGGCAGCAATCTGCAGGGCTATGTGGTTTTCTCCAGCAGAGCTCAGCTACCCGGGCTGAGGAGTGGGAGAAGCAGAGTGGGGAGGATCACTCCTAGCTCGGGGGTTTGCAAGTCAGACACGCCAAGGGATGGGCAGAGCTGAGGATGCTGATGATGGGTGGCTGAAGTGATCAACCACAGATAGGATTGAGGGGAAGCAAAATTGAGGCGGGTAAGAAATGGAGGGATGGAGGTCTGGAGGCAGGCAAAGAGAAGATGTTGTGGGATGCGAGGGTGAGAACTGGTAGGACAACAGGTGGTGGTCACCGAGTGGGGTGCTGGGATGTAAGCTTTCAGAGGTGGAATAGCTCTCAGTGATGGAAATGGGTTGCTGAGTGTAGTGGAGAATGAAGGTCACTGGAGGTGAGGAGCTGCAGTGTCAGATGGGTCACTCAAATGAAACAGATATCATTCCAGAAAGCAGGAAGCGAATTGGGTGCTAAAGCCTTCCATGAGTATGAGGGAAGTGGCTCAGGGTCAGGAAGTGACAGAAAAAAAGGGAGACAACCACAGGTATTTACAGGAACCAGCGCAATATTCAGTTTGACCACAGCGCCCAGAGTAGACTGGGTAAAGGGGAATCACAGGAGGTATGGTTATCATGATAGGTTGGGGCAGAATCAGAAAGATCTTTGAATGTCAGGCTAAGGAAGCCTAGACCTCATTAGGAAGGCAGTAAGGAGCCACTGAAGGTAGTTAAGCACCTATGAGAGGTATATTTTGGGAAGATAATAGAGACAGCACTGGGCGTAAAGTCAGAAGAATGGGTTTAATAATAAACAGCAGCTACCATTTATTGTGCACTTACTCTGTACAGGCCACTGTGCTAACCACTCTAGGGGGGTTGCCTTGTCCATTTTCATACTGGACTCAGTTCAGTCACGTCTTAAGCTCTGTGATCTTAGGCAAGAATACCCTACCCTCTCTGGGACTCAATTCTCTCATATGTTAGTAGGACGGCGACAGGACTAGATGTCCTTGCAAGGGCTCGTCCAACTGTGCCATTCTAGGGCTGTGTGTCCCTGAGGCCTGCAGGGTCTCACCCTCTTACCGGATGGAATTCAAGAGACTTACAGCTGAAGGAGTTGGGGGCTGGCCCAGCAAGGTGAACCCAAGCAGGACTCAACCACCTGGGGCCAGTCAAGGGAGGCAGAGCAGTTGAATAGCCTCCAGTTCTTCCTCGCTTCCCACTGGCTTGCAGAAAACCGGCGGGCGTTCCGTCCTGAGAGAGAAGAGAGGGCCTGAGGAGAAGGAACTAGAAAGCCCCCCCACCCAATCTTGCACCTCGAAAAGCTTGGCTCTGCCCATCCCTGTCTCCCCAGACTCCGACTCCCCATTCTATACCTCCCAATTGCTCAAAGTATTCAGGACCCTTTGCCCCAGTCCAGTTTACTTGGTTCTGAGAAGAAAAATGTGAAGGGAGATTTGTCCACTGCTGCTGTGGGGCCCTCTTGGGCAGATCTAAACCTTTCACAAGGGATGTGTCCTCCTGGTGCTATTCAGTCGAGAGCTGAGCACAGTGGCAGATGCTCTTGCCTGGGCTGCATTAGGCCCTGGGGCTAGGGCTAGTCTCCCTCACCAGTTTTGGTGTTAGCCACGATCAGTTCAATGGTCCATCTGAGGATGTAGGTGGGCCGGATCCCAGTGTCCCCCAAGGCTGGCAGCTCAGAGAGCATCCTTTCCAGCAGGGCCTGTGTGAAGGTCTGGGAGTGGAGGCCCCTGAGCAGGGGCTGCCAGAATTGAGAGAACGGCCTTGGCACCAGGACGTCATTCAAGTCCACATTTTCTGGTTTGTGAGAAACACCCATTGACAGGAAAAGGGGAGGCAGGGAGGGAGAGAGAAGGAGGGAGGGAGGGAAGAAGGAGAGGAGAAAGGAGGGCAAGAAAGGGAAAGAGGGAGAGAGAGAAGGAAGGGAGGAAGAGGAGGAGAGAGAGGGAGAAGAAGAGGGGGCCCCACCAACAATAACAGAGTTGCCACCGCAGAACAGGAGGAAAGAGGAAAGTAGAAGAGTGGGGAGAGAAACCAGTTAGTATCTGGTAAACAACAACTGACTCAAAATAGAATATAAAAGAAAAAGAGCTCTGGTTCTAGCTTCGGCTTTGTCAATAACTCACTGTGTGACTTTGGGTCAGTACCTTCCCCTCTCTGGACCTCAGTCTGCCCATCTGTAACATGAGGATGTTGGACTAGATGACCTCACAAGGCCCTTCCAGTTCTGCTGTTCTAGCTCTCTACCAAGTGGCTAGATCACAATTAACATAGCACAATAATGGCATTAAGACCCCCACCCCCACCCCAGCCCACCCCAGCCCACCTCACCCCACCCAATTCCAGGCCACCTAAGGGTAGCCCGACAACTACTTATCAGTGGGGCTACATGTTCTGCTCAGCCAAGAGGGCTTCCAGTAGCTATGGAACAGCAGTAAACAGCCCTTACCTCCCAGTCCAGGGCCACCCAGCCCACCCCTGGTGTTCTTGCCCAGGATACACAGTACCCTAAGGCTGCATCGAGCCTCCAGGACCCTACCTTCATAGTCTAACTGCAAAGCTGCCAACTGTTCAAATGTGGGGATGAGAAAGCCGTCATCCAGAAAAGCATCTAGCAGAGCCTCCCTGGAGCAAGAGGACACTAAATTAAGTAAAATGAAACAGGCAGAAGACCCTCTTCTACTCCCCTACCCACTCCCAAGGCAGCTAATGCCTTTGACTCAAATGGCCAAACCAGCATGGGGGAAAAGGAAGGCAGATGACAGTTGGTTCTCAGGCCTCAGCCTCCCTGAGTCAGGGGCTGAGCCAAAGACTGGGATCTGTGGGTTTTGAACAAGCATTTACCAAGCACAGGCAAATCTAAGGCCCATAACAAGGGCAGTAGTGGCTTAACAAGTCCGAAAGCACAGATGAAGAAAAGTCCCAGGCCCACAAAGGAGTTAAATGCCTGAGGTTATAGGGTCAAGGGCTTTTAGACTTTAGTTCCTGGTTAGTCTTTGTTTTCCTTGACAGTCCTCCAGTCTCCTACCCCTCCCCTTCTCCCTGGTTACCCTCTTTCAGATCTTACAAGCAGAAACTTTGGGGACTCAATTGCTGGGCCAAATATTACATTATCCTCATTCCTAAGGACCCCAAGAACCCAGAACTAAGATACAGAGGTTAAAAGTATAAGCTATAGGGGTAATCTCTCATCCCCATCTAGCTTAAACCAAAACCAGCAACATCCAGCTGTCTCCTCCAGAGCTAGCAGTTCCCTAAGAGAGGCTCTCCTAGCTAACTGGGCTGAGGGGGAACAAGAGCTCCCAAGGTGTCTCAATGCCTGGAGGGTTGTCATGCTCAGATCCCTCCCTCTACCAGGCTCAAGGAGGAAAGAGTTGTCCTTCCGTCCATCTCCCATCTCCTCAGGTAAGTATGCAGGAAGAGCACTTAAAACAGTCAGCCAGTTGCCTGCTCAGCATGACCAGGCAGACACTACTGTATAGCACAAGGATAGTTTTCCAAGCTATGGAGGGGGCCACCACTCACCCCTTTACTGAAGGGTACAGCTAAGAAGCCTAGGCTGGGCAGACACTGATAAAACACCTTTGGAACTACTGGTATCCCGGGAATAAAGAAGACGCCAGGGACAATCCTAACCTGCACTGCAGGCTCCCCACCCAGGCCCACTCTGCCACATACACCACCTTCCTATACTCTCCGCTCCATCCCAGATTCTTTCCAACCTCTTCCCAAAGCCCCTTCCAGCTGAATGTAGGTAGCAAGCCCCAAAGAGCCAGGGAGGAAAGGAATGGATAGACACTGTCTGCTCTGACTGAACTGAGTACTACTTTGAGGGGAAAATAAGGCTCATGGCCATACTGGGTGGGTCAGTGGGGACTTAGTCTTTGGAGAATCCAGGCCCTGGGAAGGCCCCTCCTCTCTCTCCTCAACCACAATTATCCAGGGGATGTTGATCCTCTCTAATAGCAGTTCAAAAGAGACCAGCAGTGCCTACCATACATCTTTTACCTCAAACTCGGAAAAGAGATCGGCAGTGAAAAAGCAAAAGGTTAACGGCTTTTCCTAGTTGCCAAGAGCTCCACATACCACTGGACAAACAGGAACAAAGCTGGCCAGGGGATGGATGACAGTAGACATTCCTGACTCTGGCCATTTCAGTTACTCAGAGTAGGCAAACCCCACCTGGTAGCTGGCAGGGTTTGGGGAAGAGGATCATGTGAAATGCAAGGTCACCCGTGGTGGGTCAAGGTTATCCCTGGGATTTCCTACAGCAGAGGTTGGCAAGCTGGGATATGAAAACCAATTTCAGTGAGGCTGCTACGCTCTACCCTAGAGAGTAGGCAGCCCCTGATTACCTAGTTACACACCTGTTCTCCCATGTAATGCCCTTGAGCTCTGCCAGGATGCATTCTACAGGTGGGGACAGGTTATTCCACGCCTTAATGGCCTGAGGTAAATACCTAAATTTCTCCAGCACCTGCCAGCAAAGAGGGTCCCATCAGAAGGCTGGTTCAGCCAGGTAACACCCCCCCATCCCTCCAGGATTCCTTCTCATAGGACCTCTCAGAATGTCCCTTCAGGGGATACGGCAGGGTATGCAGAGGTGAGCCCACAATGTCCCTATTGGTCCTGCAACTAAAAATATCCTGACCCTCAAACTCCAGACTTTCTCTTCTTCCTCCCTCCCCACCCTCCAAATTCCCTTGTTATTGTGGCTGTCAATAACCAGATAATCCAATACATAGATATCCAATGGGGGCATTTGGTTGGAGTTGGGCAGAGACCCTTGGACCAAGGGGTGAAAGGAAGCAATGGGTTATGGAAGAAAGTGAATCAGGAGACTCAGGTTCTTGTCCTGGTTCTATCACTAACTGCATATGTGACATTGGGCCAGTCATTTCACTCATCCATGGCTTCAATTTCTTCATCTGTGAAAAGGAAGGGTTGAGGTGAATAGTTTCTAAGCTTACCTCCCTTCCTGCTAAAATAGCACCCCTCAAGCTCACCTGATCTAGGAAGGTTCCTGGACGCCATCTGCTGATCAGCTGCAGTACCACAGGTCTAAGCAACCACCTAAGCCCTGTTGTTCCCTACCACCCAGTGGGACCGATTATCCACAAACTTCCAGTGATGTGGAGGATCAGCCAACTGGACTCTGCTCCTCTTGTCTCCTTCCTACTTCCCCTCTCTCTCTTTCCAAGAAGAGTTTTGGAAGAGCTTTCCAAGCTTTGCCACTTTTCTTTAAATTTCATTCTCAAGACTTCTCTCAGGTAGCTGGCAAGGGGGAAGAAATGGCTGGGGCAGATGAAAACAGGCCAAGTCAAGGGCACTTTCTTACCTTAAACTGCTCCTCTTCATAGGATACCAGCAGTTCTCGGGCTCTTTCTGAAAACAGAATAGGGAAACAGATAGAGCAGCCAGCCCTGTGCCTTGCTCCTGATGGAATTTTGAGCCCTCTCACCTCATTTCTTGAGTTGTAAATTGGGAACTAGAATTCTTGGCTCTTCTGCCTCACGGGGCTCAAGGAAGATGATTTGTGACAGTAATTTTTTTAAGCTAAGCCTCACCACAACCCCAGAGGAAATACTGAGCCAGGGAAATAACCAGAGTCAACCTAAGTCCGAGTCTTCCAAGCTCATGGGCCCCTTTCTGTATCAAGGACACCTACCATACAACTCTTTATGTCTCACAGCCTTTTGCCAATGTGGATCAACCTCTTTGTTGCCTTCACTGTTTCCATCAGCCTTAACATCCAGCTCTGCACCTTTCTCCTCATCCTTAGGCTCTGGTTTCTGTTCTGTGATGTCATCAACGACAATGTTCTTATCTTCCTCTTGGTCTTCTTCATCTGTCTCTTCCCTGTCCTCCTCCAACTCCCAGGTCTCTCTTAGGCTGTTCTCCAGTTGGCGGCACCAGTAGGTCTTCTGGAGCCAATCCAGGACAAAGTAACAGCCTAAAGGAGGGGAGGAAGGAAGGCAGCGCCATAGTAACAGCACAGGCAAGCAGCTCCTAGCAGGCCTCCAGCCTCATCTTGCAAACATTATGGGGAGGCCCCAGGTAAGAGGCTTGGCTCCAAGGAGGCACAAATCTCAAATATCTAGAAGCAGCCCCTCTTGCTCTGGGTTATCCCCCAGTTCTTTGCTTCCTCCCACTCACCAGCACATTTCCTAGAAAAAATCTATACCAGACTTGAAGATGGGATGCCAAAAACGGCACAGGGCTAGCAAGTGGGAGAACAGAGACCCCTTAAAGTTTGTGTCCAAGGCAAATGCCTCACTCACCTCACCCTAGTTTCAGCTCTAACCCCAAGTGAAGACCCTCCTCCCTCTCTCTCCCCCCACAGTGCCACCTAGCCCAGGCCTCTGGGCTTAACTGTGATAGGTATACTCCCTGGGGACTCACCCCTGCGGCAGTCATTTATATGGGGCATTTTCTTGTGGGTCAACTCATGGCGAAGTTCAACAATCCAATCTGGAATGTTCACCTGATTGTGGGGGAGGGTGTGAGTGCAGAAATTAGAAAATAGTAAAGCAGAAAGGGCCACAGAGATGAATTAACCTGGCTTCTCCCCATTTTACAGATAGAGAAACTGAGCTCCTGAGAGGAGGTTCCGTTCTTAGTGGCAGAGCCAAGATTAGGAACCAGGTCTCCTGATTCTCTTTACACTCTGTGGAAGTGATCTTGAAAATCAGAAGACACTCGCCTCCCCCAACCACCAACTACCCTCCTCCAATGAAGAGATTCCTGTGAATGAGCATTAACAATCACCTTCTTCAGCCTCCCTCTGCCCTTGTCTGTACCAGTTGCTCTCCCAGGGTACCCTTTACTCTCCCCTCTCTTCCTCCCTTCCTCCTTCTCTCCCAGACCTCCTCCAGGAAGCTTCTCTTGATGGCTGAGAACCTGTCTGCCATCTGGGTCTCTACACACCTCCCATACTCACTCAAGGCGGGAATGTCTTGCATTTTCACCCTGCTTGGCTGAGTTTGTCTCCTCCTTCAGACTGTCAACAACCAGAGGGCAGGTACTTTAACTGCCAACTCTTTCCTGTCCCCACTCAGGGGTGCATTGGGGTGCTTCAGCTTCACCTGGACCACTCCCAGCAAGCTGGGCAGGCCAAGCCCACTGAAGATAGCAGCCATGAGCAAGGGAGCAAGTCTGCTTCTTTCAAGCTGGAAGCTGAGGCTCTGGGGTTCTTGCTGGGCTTGGCTGACAGTGATGGGATGAGCTAGTCTGACTGTACCCACATCACCCCATGCCCCATTTAGTGAGTCCTCCTGAGAAGAGAGAATTTAGCAAGTCCACTTTATCATACACACCTCCTGAGCCAGGAACTTGAGAGGAAGCTTGGCAAACTTTGTCTTCCTCTCCGAGATAAGGTTCACAAACCTGAGTTTGGGGGAGAAATAAGTGGCATAGCCCAAGTAACTGTTTTATTCAAACCAGTGGGGCTTTAAAACACCTTGCTGAGTTACTGTCACCTTGCATTTCCACAACCTTTCCAATGACTGTTCTGTCCTGTTCTTATGGTTGGTGTCAGCCAGAGCAGGAATGGTTCCATCCAGTCTAACATTTACTGAGACTCTGCCCTGTACTGAAGCCATACAAATGAATAAGACACTGCTCTGGCCTTGAAGAGTTCAGTCTAGGATAAATAATCATGACATAATATAACATATTATGCTAGAACATAATATGTTATAAATGCTACAACAAAGGACTACATCAAACGATATGGGGAGCACAGCTAAACAATGGAGAAGGTAAGAAGAGCTAGGGAGGACCACAAGGCAGACAAGGCAAACAGTATGAGCTAAGCAAAGACTCTGACAGATGAGAAAACTCAGAGGCAACCTTTTTCCTGATGTACATGATACAGCTAGAATCATTCTGAGTCACTTTGTAAATCAGGAACTCCTGGCCCATGTCTCCATTTCCACAACTCAGTAACCTTTCAGTGTTCGTGGAGAGAATGGAAAAAAGGTGTAGGTAGGGATAGGATTAGAAAATCCACATTAAATCATGGGCAAGGGCATTGAACCATGTAGAAAAGTTCCTCTGGGTGAAAGAGTAAAAGGGGGAAAGTAAATCAAACTGTCAAGGCTGGAAGAGACCCATAGAGACAACTTGGTCTGAACCACCCCCACCCAACATTCCAAAGAGAGGGAAAGAAAAACAGAAGAGAGAAGGCTCTCAGGAAAAAAGAGGAATGTGTGTTAACAGGGGGTACCAAAAGCTGTCACATTAAGCAATCATAAGGTGACCCATACACAGGGACACACAAGGCTTTTTGCTTCAGGTAGAACCCAAAGCCAAACTTTGCTTATCATGTGCTAAGCCCACGCCCCCCCCCTCAAAAAACCACCCCCCACACCCCTACCCATGTAGGTCTTACCTGACCAATGCCATGCCATAGAGCAGTCTAAGTTCATCAGTGCCCAAGCCACCAGTTACATCCATGAGCTTACAGCGTACCAGGTCAGCAGTAGAAGCCACTGCCAGGGGGAGTTCGTTGCCTAACCTAAAGGGCCACAGTCCAGCACCATCATAAAGGTCCTTTACACAGGCCCACCCTCCATCTCAGAACCTAGGTTGTAGGTTATTGCAATTATATACTGGCTCAAGAGTGTGTGGATAGACACAAATCAAGAAGCTGGGAAGAGGGAGGGTAATGTCCCTGGGATCCAATAGTACACAGGACATGAGAGGCTGGTTTAGGACATACAAAGGATATCTAACTGCTACACAGCCAATCAACAATTAAGTGTGGACACACGCCTTTCTTTCACCGTGAAAACCTCAACTCTTTCACCCAGAGAAGACCTTATTCTTGGAGGCATTAGCCCCTTGTCTGCTCCCAACTAAATCTTACCAACTGGACTGAAGCGCTCCATTCAAACATGCTTTTGCAGGCAAGCTCCCCCCACCCCCTTTCTATTTCGAATCAGAAATCCACCCTAGAGTGCTACTCCTTAAGACCAGGCTGGCTCAGCCACAGCGGTGCCCTCTCATCGGCACCCACCTCAAGATGAGAGAAGGTAAGGATCAAAGCTCACAGACTTGACAAAAGGGCTGTTGAGGCACACCCCGTTTCTTTCCGCAAAAGGGATTAGTGCACGAGCTTGGCTGCGACCTTCCCCCGGGCACTTGGGAGACAAGCAATGCCCAAACTACGCGTAGGGGGGGCCATTAGGCATTTAGGAGAAAACTGGGTAATAAGGCCTTACGGAAATTCTACAAAGGAAGAGGTGAAGTGCCACCAGCACGCAGGCAGGAGGGCTAAGCCTGCCGCCTTACCTGCTCCTCCACACGGTGATGCGGTTCAGCGCGTACCGCTGCAATTTATGGTCGTCAGAGAACAGATACACTGTCACCTGATCCCACTCGGCCCTACTGAGCCAGGCGACCACGATGCGCTGGGCCCAGAGTGGCGGCGACCCTTTCTCTTTGACGCACTTCCCGCACCACGCACTCCACACGCGATCCATCCCCTGGGGACTCAGGCCTGGCTCAATCCCGGATTACCACCAGACACCGGGCTCGTTGCCAGGCTTTGGGCCGCCGCACTCCAAACAGCCTCCAGCTCAACGTGCTACCCTCACTCCAAACCGCCGCCGCACCAGCAACCAATGGGAGAGTGTGACCCCGACGCAAGCCCGCCTCCCACCGTTAGCGCGGCAAATCGAAACGCGAGAGCTAGAGGCTGACCAAACCACAAGTTGCGGGAACGGCCTCTCCGACCGGAAGTGTTCTTTCCTCAAAGCAACCGTACCAGCTGCAAGCATTCAGCCTCAAGGTTCCGCTAATTTCCTGGTTGCTAACGGGATTCTGTCCCAGACCCGGAGGGACACTTCTGGACTGCAGGAGGAGTTTTAGTTTGCGCTCCCTGGCGGGCCGGGGAGGGATTGTGGGCGTCCAGTGTACTGGAAAAGCGCTTAATGTTTTCATTGCCATGAATCAATACCTGATCCAGTAAAACACTATGGACTCTAAAGCAAGACTGCAGAACAAATATCTAGTATCTAAATATCTAAAGTTGGGTTAAAAAAACTCTGCTGGGTTTCACATCTGTACAGTGAGGAGCTTAGACTGGGTGATCTCTAGGTTCTTTTCCATAGCTGAAAATTGTAGGATTTTACTCTGCCAGCATTCCACTGCTATGTTGGTTTCAACATCCACAAAGGTATACTTAGTTTTTCTGCACAATTTCTTGGGATTCTGGAGTTCTGGAGGGGAAAGCAATATTATGAAACCCTTCTGATTTTATGGGTTGGCTAAAATATGTTCAAGACTCTGTCCCAATCTTTCTCACAGAAGTTATTTTCCAATCTAACACATGAGAGAGAACTGTTGCTAACACTCTAACAGCATTGCTGGGAGTAACTCTTTTGCACTTTACATCAATAAATTCCAATCCATTCTCTATATGTGCTTCTTTCTCCAGCCATCTTCTCCTAAGATCTAGTCTGCCCATGGTTCTTGAATGATAGTTACTCTGTCCTGAGTAGCCATGCCAAACAGTAGGCCAGGTGTCTTCCAGAAACCAGATACCCTCTCCATGCTCAGGCTCTTAGCTGTGTGCAGGCAAAGACAGGGAGATGGCTTATATGACCCCTTAAGATTCAATCCAGTCAGAGAAGTTGCCAGGTCTGCAGGAATCATTCATGAACATTTTGGTTTAGAGGTTATTTTTGGATAGTACTTTTCAGGTAAAGGGCCCTATCCTTCCCCATTCCTTCCCTATGAATTTGAGGGTCTCCCTATTCCATGTGTTCCAAGAAAACTTGACAAAGCACATAACAAGAGTACCATGTCTAATATGTGGCAAATGAGGCCTGACACCTATTGAGAATTAGGAATTACTGGATCAAGTCTGTTAAGTAGTGATAGCTTTGAGGAGGCCCTGCATTAATTTCCTGTGGATGCTATAACAAATTTCCACAAACTTGGTGGCTTAAAACAACAGAAATTATCTCACAGTTCTGGAAGTCAGAAGTCTAAAATCAGTACAGTTTGGCTGAAATCAAGGTGCTGGCAGGGCCAGAGTCCTGCTGGCTGCTCTAGGGGGAAATCCATTCCTTGTCTTTTCCAGCTTCTGGAGGCTACTGGCATTCCTTGGCTTATAGCCACATCACTTCAATCTTCAAAACCAGCATCTTCAAATGTCTCTCTGCTTTGTCTTCACTTCACCTTTTCTTGGTGTGTGTAAGATCTTCCTCTGCGTCCCTCTACTACATGTGATTGTATTTAGGGCCCATCTGGATAATGCAGGGTAATATCCCCATTTTAAGAACTTTAATTTAATTATATCTGCAATTAAATTTATTTTTAAAATTAATTTTACTGTATAAAATAGCATTCTTTTATTTATTTATTTTACCATATAAAGTAATGTTCACAGGTACCAGGGATTAGGATGTGGATGTTCTGCCGGTGGGGGGCGGGCGTTGCGATTCAGCCTACCACAGGCACTATGGAATCTATCCTAGCACATGCTCAAGAATCCTAAGAATCCCTAGACATTTGATGCTGCAGGACACCTCTAGATGTGCCAGTGGGCTTGAATTAAATGAGCACTCTCCAAGTCTAAGGCATTGCTTGTAAAATCTTAAAGTGGATCAAATTTGTCTTCAAGCTACTGCTTCCCCTTATATGTTTCACCATTTCCCTCCCTCTACCCACCCCCAATTTGTGCATCCCATTCACCTAAGACAGTCCTAAGGCCCCTTCTGAGCACCTGCCTATAAGTAGATGCCCTTCAAATCTCCAACTCTGATCCTAATCTTTCTCTGGAGCTCCAGACCCATTTAATAATTGCACTCAATATCAACCTGCCCAAAACTAAAATATTTTCCCCATAAGTCTGCCTCCATCCAATAGCCTTCAATCCTAGTAAATGGCAACACTATTCACACAGTCATCCAAAGTTCAGTCTCTGCACTCAGACAGCTTGGGCTTGAATTCTAGCTTCACCACCTACTGTCTGTAAAATCTTGAGCAAGTTATTTAACTTCTATATGCCTCATTTTCTTCATTTAAAAATGGAGAAAAAAGAGCACTTACTTCATAGGACTCTTATGTGGGTTAAAAGAGATAAGTGTAGAGCCCTTAGAACTGTGCTCAGCACATTGTAAGTACTTGAAATATTAGCCTATACTGCTTTTAACAGTATCATCGTCCACTATTCCACTTCCTCCCTCACCTCCATGCTGACCTTCCCCACAACTACATAATCTGTCTAGTAAATTCTACTTACTATTTTTTAAATTCAGTCCTCTCCTTGACATCCTCATGGCCATTGCTCTAGTTCAGGCCTTGATCCTCTCTGGATCATGTACTACTTTCCTAACCGATCTCCCTGCCTCCATCCCTTACACAGCAGGGAAGGGGCTCTCATAAACTGGAATCTAATCTTGTCAGAATCATAAATTCCTGGACTATTTTCCTGAAACAGCAGGCATTAAATGGCTTTTGAAGCATTTTTACAATTTGGCTCTAACCTACCTTATGTCTAGTTACTCCTTGTAGCACATTGAAGTTACAGCTGGTCTCTGAACATGCAAATCTCCTGTAAGCCTCTATGCCTTTATCTCTTACATTAGCACTATCAATAATGTTCTTTCCTCCCTCTTTTTGGTAAACAATTATTCATCCTTTAAGATTCAACATCCTTTGTCAAATCTAGTTCTCTCATGCAGAGTAAATCTGTCAGGCCTTTCTCTGAACCACCACACCACTATCCACATCTTTCTATTGGAGGAAGAGAAGGAAAGAAACATTTGCTGAATGCCTACCATGGGCCAGGCCCCATGCTAAGTGCTTGATAACATTAAACTTTATCTGAGCCCTGGGCTCCAAGAAAGCAGCCACAGTTGAACAACTCCCTCACCCTTTCTTGTTCTAAAAAAGATGCTAATTGTATAGTAACACATTGCCCTGGCATATTCCGAGATCAGACCCTCTCCATACTTCCTCATGACTCCCATAGACTTGTGAATGACTCTTTTGTTTACCTACGTCTATAAAACTCTAAATTTATTTTCTTTTCTTTGAGCCTTCTCCCTATGGCTATAACCTGAATAAAATCATCTCCTTAATTGCCCTGTGCATTTTATCTTTCACGTGGTGCTCACAATTCTATGAAGTTGGTTTTATTCTCATCAGTCTACGGATGAGAAAACCAAAGCTCAGCTGCATGGCTTTAAATGGTGCCATTAAGAAAGGAGGGAAATGCAATTCCCTCCCAGGTATATAAGGCTCTGAAGTCCAGGCTTTCCATAACCTCAGACATAGGCTATGATTTACCTGTTTACAGATCTGCTTCAGACCATGAAAGCTTCAAAAGTGGGGAAATCCAGGGCTTCAATCAGCCTTATCCTTGCTTACTGAATGAATTCCTGAATAAACCACATCAACTCCTACTAAGGTAGTATTGCAGTTTTTCTCAAACTTTGTTTTTAATCCAGGCCTCTTTTTGATAACTAGGAAAAACAAATTGAAAGGCTAAACTTCTGAGACAAAGGAGAATTTACATTTTAAATGGAGAAGATAGTGCCTTATCCATAGGAATGGAACCTTCTGAGGAATTTCAGGGCAGGTTGTGGGGGGCGGCTAATGTCCCTTCCAAAATCACCAGCCTTCTAAAGCCATAAAGTGGCAGAATTTCCTCAGAGAAGTAGATAACCCATTTGAGAATGGAAGCCACTGTGTCACATTTATTGTTCTATCCAACAATACTCAGAATCAGCTCTGGGAGGTAATAGCCAGAGAACACATCTCAGGTTAACTGCCTGCTTCTATTGTAAGATTCTCTCTAGAATCATAAAAACTTCCCAATGAAGGGGACCCCATAGTTCATCTTATCCAGTGCCCGGACTAAATAGGTTGTATCTCAGTCAAAAGGGAACTTATATCTGCTTAAGGATTGGTTTTAGACACTAACAATGCTCACATTAGGGAGTTGTTATTTGTGTCTAGCCTCCATCTTTTGTTCTGAAGTAACAGTTACGTCTTGGCTTCTTTCAGCTCTCTGCCAAAATTGCGGACAGCCTTATAGATCCAAAGTTCCCACTTAACCCTTAATCTACCTGGACAGGGCCTCTGTTCCAATTCTTAGATTATGTGTTTCTCCTTAATAAAGCTAGATGCTCCTCTACTATTAGCATGAAAGTTTAGATTGGAGCAATGTAAACTGGCTGAGAGAGGGGATCATCCCTTTTAGGGGTCTGTCAGCATTTTTTTAGGCATTAGGTTTCTAATATTTCTGGATCCAGACCTATTGTAAGAGACACATTTCACTTCATGACTCATTTCACACATACACATGTATAACTGAAACAAAATTTCCACAAAACGATTCTCATCCTTACTAGATACAATTCAACTGTAATTTATTTAGTTCATTTTTTGAAAAATACTGGTCATCACTGCCATGTAAGGGGGTCATGGACATACACCACAACACCTGAGAACCAAAACCTTCTATTCCCAAACTTAGTCTGTACATTGAGAACTGAAACCACACCTTACTGTCTACACTAACACTATTTTTATTCTACTGTCTTCATTAGCATGACTTTACTTTTCCAGGACTCCCCTCTGCCTCAGCAAATGGTTAATTACAGGAACATCCCGAAAATCCCAACAACTAACTCCGCAATGGAAAACAACAA